AAGGCTGTAATTTGCGGCACAAAATGTTGACAAGTCATTCCGGCTTATGGAAAACTCAAGAATTGCATATTGGACCATCGGAATATTTGAGTGTTACAAACATCAACAAGTTTAATCCGTTATGTTGGGGGGATATCAGCAAGGAAAAGCGGTTCGGTACCAGGGGGAAACCGGTTTCCAAAGTTAAATGTACCGGTACTAATGTTTATGACACTTGAAAAATGTGATGGTCTGATGTGGAATTCCTTCCCAGGTGACAAGGTAAATACTCCCCAAAATTGGTAACAATTTGGAAAGATTTTGAAAGAGAAATAAAACGTGACACTTACACAAGGACTGAATCCCACATTGTGGATGCAAAGTCAAAATGATGAAAGTATGAAACTAAAGATTTGTCACAGTAACAAATATTAAGTCTTACAAAGCACCCACAGCAGCATAAAAATAGTCTGGGACCAGGTTCATGGTCAAATATCTGCTGCCAGAGCAAAATTCAAGGTCAAGGTTAAATACCTAGGTGATATTTTACTGCTTCATGGGGTCATGTTTTTAAGCCTCAACAAACCTCAGCAAGCATCAGGATTCCAGAAAGTATCAACAAAAAATCTACACAAGTCTTATCATGTGCTCAGTGCATCACCTTTATTCCCCATTTGGAGAGGCAACAAATGAAGATGACTGTGCCGCTTTTGCAGCCTGGCTGGCAGCCATCTTGATGGCATGTGACCAAACACGTCAAGAAAGATGGCGGCCTCCAATCTTTGCAAAACATTTTCTTTACATTGGTGTTCCTACAGGAACCTGGGTGTACATTGTAAATTTGCCCTATTTCTTAGGTGAGATTCTACTCCTGTTGACATGTTTGAAGCTATCTGGCCAAGTACTACTTACTAGGTCTGGTGTATTTCAACTTGTCGTGGTTCCAGGGATCGAGTCGAACCACGGCAAGTGCCACGGCTGCCTTCCTCACCTGCCGTAGTGCCCTGAAAATGTGGACATCAATGGCAGTAAATTGCCAAAGTTGCCCAGACACATTTTGCCTCTGTGCCCTTGACGCAAGTTGCACAATAAGTCTGATCTAAACATTGAATGCAGTGATCGAATACATGAAACCGGGGAATTTATGAACAAAACAAGACAGAATTAAAGAATAAAGGTACACGAACGGCAGGCTGTAACAGCTAAATGTCATGGTACAACAGCGTAGTGGGAAAAACTTGGGGAAAAGTTCAATGTATACTGACATTACTAACTTTTCCCTCAAGTGGTATCAGCCATCAGAAAGTGATCACATGTCCCAAGATGTTGAATGTAGCATGGAAAATATTGCAGTGGGATAAAATACTTTAAATAGTTCTAAATACCAAATAGAATTTTCAGACCAGTCTCATAAGGTTTGTGCACAGGCATGACAAAGTGTCAATTGATGCCCACATAAAAGCACTCTTTCCCAAATTTGAAAAAAAAAAAGTTGCCTTGGTGTCCCTACTTTGAAGGAAATGTTTGTCTTCCCTCCATACATCACGAAAACTTTTCATTTTTCTGCAAAAATCTGGACCTGGAAGCGAATTCTATGTTTCTCTCAAACAGCAGCAGGTCTTACTTAGAGCCTCTAAATATGATAAAACCGCGTTTAAGTCTGAAGAGGCTACCTATTTTCAAATTGTTGACGCTTGGGTAACGTTTGACGCTACTTGAGTGTGTTGACGCTTGTTGACAGTAAATAGCATGACCGGTAAAGGAAAGAGTTCCATATCTAGACATCATGATACACAAACCCTGAGACCAGTCTGAAAAATTCTAAGTCTTTTCTCAGTAAATGCTTCAACATTTTCACTGCTAAAGTTGACTTTTTAGGACTTGTTATCAACTTCTGATAAGCCTTATCTCAAGTACTGTATGGGTGATTTTGTACAATGGTAGAAACGCATTGTGGAAAGGCAAAAGGAGCAAACATTGCCCCTTTTTCCTTCCCATGATTCCATTCCACCACTGTGCCAAATCACCCATGCAGTATTTGCGAAAAGGCTTATGGACGATGTTTTTTAAGGCGAAAGGAAAATTAGTGAAGTCCTACAACATATTCACAAGAAGTTACAAAGAAACTTGGCCTTGCGCAGGCATGTGCATCACATGATGGTGATATATTGGTGGCTTTAGTCTTTAACTAGTTTTAGATTTTGTACAAACACGATGAACAGGTAGGCCTAGCTACGCGGGAGTAGGCTAAATTTCTTCAAATAGGCCTACCTTCCAAGTTCCAATTTGCGTCTTTAGTTCGGACTTACCAACAACAATCTTACCAAGTCTGTTTAACTGAAGCGATCCGTACCAACGTCCGGTGCGCACTCAACAACAATGTACTTCTGGATCTGATTCTGTAACCCACCAGCACTACCGATACCAATGTATACACAGGCAACATTAACAACACTAGGAAGAAACTCCCAACATGGCCGTCACCGTCATGTCACTAGTCGAGTGCGGAAGCGTAACACAGCGCCCTCTGTTGCGCTTTGGATGAAATGCCACCACCGGTCACACCCGGCGTTTTGGTGATCGTAGCCAGTGGCGAACTATAATTTAATAGGCCTTTTTTTATTTGACATTCTCGAACCAAAAAGAAAAGTTCTGAATGCAATATTGTTCTCGTGTGCGGCTGGTAAGGGTTCGAACCGCACGTGTAAGGCGATCATGCGGCACCAATTTTATGAGGGACTCACTCTTTTCGAGAGTGAGTTTTTTTACTCTCTTGCTTTTAGAGCTAATCAGTTTGTGAGGCCACCGGAAGCTCACTACCACTTTGGAAGGAATAACGCCAAGAGTCCTGTTTCCACAATTCTTCAACAAACGGGCGAGTTCACAATGTTCGTTCCGTTTGTAGGTCTCTAACTCTTCGCGATACCGTTTTACTCAGCACTGGTTGGTTGAGAAGAAATTTGGTTTTGGTTTTTTTTGTTCCATCCCACATTATTCCAGGCAATTACACAAAGTTAGGGGCCTGATAACAGAGCTACCGGTACATGACAAAAACATCAAATTCGTATAGCTTGAACTCGTGGAGAAATCGGTCAACAATATTGTCGTGAACTGGACCAACGCATGGAGTGAGCGTGTGCAGACTTAATAACAATCTACTTGATAGGCTGGTTGGACGCCCGTTTAGATGTTTATAGAGATTGAATATTCAACGAGAATTATGCATATTGAAAAGCCGGATATATAGCTACAGATGACGTATTGCGTGGTCATAGCTTCTTTTATACGTGGAGAAAAATGGCAGATATGTCACCGAGATTGCCCTAACTTCATGAGCTCATTCTGTATGTAAACCTGCAGAGGGCACCTTCTCAGCGATGCACTGACTACTGAGAACCTGTTGTGATATATCTCAGATTAAAAATACGTACTATGAAATTAGAGAATTTATTTCTATTGGGAAAAAAGCTGTTAGCATTGTGCAACACATGGTTGGGATGTTAGATATATCTCAAAATGAACAAAACTTCAACTTTTATTGCAGGGGAAAATGAAGGTATGTAATAAACATTGCACAGATTTCAATGACGGAATGATGTACTGCGTTACTATGAGACGTCAGATATTTTCTCGAGGTAAAAAAATATGCAATTCAGCTTTGAATTATTGGGAATCTAGCTATTTCAAATTTTTTGACTCTGTAGTTTTCTTGTTTGAGAATATGGAAGATATGTAATGAAAATTTATACATATTTCATTTCTGTAAATTAGAAAAAAATTCATGCGGAAAGCTGTCATTGAGTTGATGTTCTGGCAAAATGTTACATAAGATGTCTCGAAATGAATAATTTAGGTACTAAATTAAGTAATAGGTTTGCAGTAGCACCATGCGAAAATATCTCTTTTTCTGAGTATGTGTGATTCTATAAAGAACCCGGAGAATTCTGAAAATTCTGGGAAAATTACGTTGTTGAAAACTAGATATTAAGGTTACAACATGCTGCAATGAGCCAGCTCAGTATTTTCAAAAAGCCAATGGCTGTCGGGAATAAAGCGAGTCAGTGTATGGCTGTGCTGATGGGACAGACTATTACACTCCCGTGTAGCCGAATAATATTATCACCTCGTGCTGGTATGGGCATGCGCTGTTGGAATACCGAACTTGCTCATTTTGCTTTTACAGTGTTTGAGAAAATTAACGATATGTTGATAAAATTTTGCCCGTTTCTGTCCTATTTTGATATTTTCAACACGGAAGTCTGATTTGCAAAGATATATCAACAAATCAAAATATCCGGTTGAATTACAGGGTTTCCCGCAAAGAAAAATACATTTAAAAAACACTGTCAATGGAAGAAGCCGTAGTTTTTAGGCGCATAAACTTGGTATCGTAAAATGTGCAACAGCTTCAGCTTCACTGGTGCCATTGCACATGGATTCCCTTTCCGCTTGACTGAGCGACGATTAACTTTAATGGAGGTGACGTTAAAAATAGTTTTTTGTTTTGTTTCGTTTTGTTTGGGTTTACTTGTTTAGTTTAGTTTAGTTTAGTTTAATTTAATTTAGTTTAGTCCAGTCCAGTTCAGTCCAGTCCAGTCCAGTCCAGTCCAGTCTAGTCTAGTCTAGTCTAGTCTAGTGGGAGGAACCCAAAGAATGAAATACACGTTTACCAATTATTTATTACAGTTACACTGACGTTAAATAATTGTCCTTTATTGAGAACTTGAATACGTTCAGGAAAAAAAAAATAAAATGTAAGATTTGTTACTAATCTTTATGATAACTAAGTAAAGATTTTCTTGGAAGCGACATGACACATTGGCAGTGTGTGATCTTATGCCTTTATTTCCAGTAGTCTGTGAAAAGCGTAGTCTGTTAACGAGGTCGTCTGCTACTTGACGTAGTGCGCATGTGCACGCTGTGAAGGACTACTATTTAGCATGGGTGATGATATCTGAATGTTTTGTACATGTACTCGTCATGTAAATTGTATGTACATATGTATACGTACGTAAGAGTCAGTTGTTTGCGGCGCTTCATAGAGACTAGACGCATGTGCTGATCGCACTCTGGATTGCGTACGGACGTAAGTGCTAGAACGGCGGGTTAGTGTAACAGACGATCGGTACCTTGGGAGACACTGAGGGACCCATTAACATCCCCGGAGGGAATACTGGTCATGTGCTTCCGGGGATCTCGGGGGTCCTACCGCGGACAACTTCGCGGTTGAACAAAATTCACCGTTGTTGCCCAGGCAGTCTGATGGGTACATTTCTCTATCTTTCACCAAGGTGTCGTCCGTTGATTTATTTATTACACCTTTAGCTAAAAAGAAATCAAGAGGTAAAAAAAAACAAAAACAAGTAATTGCTAATAGGTGTCAGCGTGTCTTGCCAAATGTCGGTCCTTGACTCAACAAGGCATCATATCATGGCTGTCCACTTGCTAACGGACCCTTTCATGTATAGCAACTAGTCTCGGATCACAGGGTAGGTGTGGAGGCTGAGGCCACGGCAGTGCATAGCCAAAGGATCAGGGGGTGAGTGCACCCAATAAAAATCGTTATTACCAATGAAAACTTGTGAAAACAAAGTAGTATTAAAAATATTAAAATTTGCGCCCCCAGCATTCACCTCCTCCGTGAGCCCTGGCTGTGATTCAGGGCGACCTTTTGCAGAAGCCCCAATTCCGCCATAACGACGTTGTTTACTGACTTTATCTCTTTATCACAGGGTCGTGGACTTGGAGGCTCGGCAGCGCTGATAGTTCAGCGCAGTCGCGCCATTGGAGTGTTCTGTATAGGGGCTTTGTAGGTCACTTGAACTTCAGCCTGCGTGAACTGTGTACTGAACTATTAAATCTGCACAGTGAAATATTGTTGCCGAGGTGAGGGCTTTACGATACTTAAGTGGAAACTTTTAGCATCTGTTGAGAACCTTGCTTATTCATATTCTTCAGAATTCGTGAGACACCGATCCTAACTGCAGGTCAACGTTTTCTGCGAGTTGTGGAAGATACTTGTTCAATAGAATTTTATCTCCCGAGACTGGGAGCTGAAATTCTGCCATACAGTTGATTGGTAGATTCAAACAATTCATGAACGTGACAGCTCGTCAAACCTCACCAGGACTATGGAATTCCATCTCTGCCGTCGCCCGTCGCCCGTCGCATTTCACTTTTTGTTGTGTCCCAATTCTGCCATTTACCAGTTCCAAACATGCCATTTTCCGTCGTGCGTCGTCCGTCGTGCGTTGTCCGTCGTGCGTCGCCCGTCGTGCGTCGCCCATCAAATGGGTTGCATAGGACCTGCAAAAGCCAGGGTTTAACAAATGACAATGTGATGATTCCATTCACTTCTGAAGATCTTTTCCGAATAAGGCAAGTACAAATCCCACCTGCTAAGCATATACTAGTCACATAATTAATGCCAATAATGCTAGACTACCCTTGCCCCTTGACAAGGAAATATCGCCTTTCTGAGAACTCAACCAAGTGTTTTTTTGGGGGAAACATTTTCAGCAAAACTGTTCCGACTAACTTATCCACAATGTTATTCTGATCTGCATACTGTAAAAATGTGCTGACCTGTTTTCATCAAATTCCAGGAAGAAATCTGCCAACCGATACAGATATTCCATCTTGTCCTCTCAATTTCACCTTGAAATCCAGAAATACTAGACGTGCTGTGGATAACAAACTGTTTATTAAATGTATTGTTATGACGTGCTTGGTTTAAGTTTCAGAAAATATGACGTGTTGGTTTTTGTGGGTGTGTATGCCAGGGTGGATAGACCAATGAGAACAGGTTGTCCGGCACATCAGCATTATTTATGGGGCTGACAAGTAACGTTACTGTTTAAGAGACTTCTGTGAGCCAACCTGCGACTAAAGTCATGTCTAATTTGGAGTATGAAGCAGATTTCATCATAGGTATACCCGCCCTCAAAATAATGTTGAATCAGTTCGTCTCTTATGAAAACTATTAAGGAATCAAACCTTGTAAATAATCTATTATTTACATTCCGTTCTGTGGGATATCGTGCAGAGACAGAAAGAAATATTACATAGGCTATAGACCTAAAGTCAGGCTGTTAACGAGTAAAGTTACGTCAAGAGTAACTAAGTTATCGAGAAAAACAATCTACCCCAACAGAAGTCTATTTTGTTAATTTATTTAAGTAACCAAAATGGTATTATTTCATATACACGTTACTTAACCGATGTCAGGGTATTATTTCTTCTTTCAATTGGAGTATGGCGCAACTGCAAAAACGAATACATGTACATCTTCTAGTTCTGTTGCTAAAATGAGAGTCAGGCATGGTGGATCGATCGAACAAGGACATGTACATGTGAAACGATCAAGGGTCAAAGTTAAAAATACCACTGCGCAATCGTGAAAAAAAAAACCACGGACAACGGGCGACGCACGACGGGCGACGCACGACGGGCGACGCACGACGGGCGACGCACGACGGGCGACGCACGACGGGCGACGCACGACGGCAGATAAAAACCAAAAAGGCAGTAAAATACCTCTTGAAATAGTAAGCCTAAAGTCCAAAATCAGGTTAACTGAAACACAAAGATGCATTTTGAAGGTTTGTATTAAAACAAATTGTGTTCTACCCTTTAAAGAGATACTTCATTGAGAAATGGCTGAAGTCCCGAATGAAGGACCTAAAGAGAAACAGTTGCGCTTCGATTGGGAACTACTTGCAAAGATCTCTGGATTAGAGGTATGACTGTGAACAATCTTATTGTAGCTATTCTACAGAGGTTTTAAAGTCGTATGTACATGTAAATAAGCCAGTCAGTTGACCAGTTTAGTCATCAAAATTTCCACTTAATGCTGAGAGTAGAAGAAAAGACGACGATACTTATTTAAAACAATTACATCTGACGCATTTATTTGCCAAAAAGAAACAACGCGTGATACTTTAATCATACTTAATCTGGGTTGCTAAAGCTCAGATGATTAGTGTTTTCTGTTACAATGCTGCTGGGCGAAATCTGTTAAATAGTCTCATTAAGTGAAGTTTGTTTTTATCTGTTTTTGTGTCTGTTATTGCTTTTTGCCTTTTAACGAAACATTGTAACAAGAAATGACGATACATCAATCCAAATGCATCTCTGATTCTGTTGCACTCTGCTGTATGCATTTTTGGCCTTGAAATAGCATTTTGGACCACCTTCCAATGTGACAATAGAAGCGATAAATGGAGGCGTGAGTAACTATGTCTACCGGCTGACGAGCGACAAGGACCCATCTCACACTGTGATCGTCAAACATGGCGAATCTTACATTCGGGTAAGTCTGTCCCTCACCACAGGCAATTTAAAGACGGAAGATTCTCGATGCTGGTGGCAAATGCATCGACATTGAATTTTTCTCTGTTAATCTGAACAACTTGATACAACAACCACATTCCGCTGGTCAAGGGGTCAGACTTCTTCAATTTCAGGCATTTCCAAGGGCGCGCGCTAGCCTCAAAAGAACCAGTTTGGAATTCTGGGGGCTGAAACGGATGGAGGAGTTGGCACCAGGTTCCGTACCAACACCGCTGTATTATGATCCAGGGCAGAACTTCAGTAAGTTTCTTCACCAAATTTTCGAGGTGGCGGCTTGTTTTTTTTATGGGGGGTGGGGCAAAAATCGGGAGTTTTTTCATGTAACCGTTTATTACATTGTACATGGCCACATTTTTAGGGGGTCTAGACGCTTCCGGAAGGAAAGGAAGTGAAATGGACCAAAAATTTGCTTTTCTTTAAAAAATGGGGAGCTCTTTTGTTGGGGGGGGGCAGCCCCAAATGATCAAGACAGCCAATAGCAGGTTCTGGTTTGCATGGCATTTTAAGCGGTGAAACAGACAAGAGAACGCACCATGGGAAGCAACTAAGACCGCCCGTATTTTTCAGGTATCAAAATGAATGCCATAACAGCCCAAAAGAGTGTAGCTTTCACAGGTGTGAAAGAACCAAGTTCGTGGTAAACCCCTCTGTGGAAAATTAGACTTTACTTCTTAAAGTGTGGGGAAGATCAGTTGATAAAGATCAAACAATCTGAAAAGTAGGTACGTTTAACACCTTGTTTGTGGTCTCTTCCTCAAGTCGTTATGGAAGACCTGCGTAGTTACCAGCTTCTGCGTGACCAAATGAATCATGGAACTATGCACTTCTCGGCAGTGGAGAAATTGTCAAGTTACCTGAGTAAACTGCATCGCACCACACACAAAACAGTGGTGGACGAGGAGACTTATGAAAAGAGTTTGGAATTCTACAAGTAAGTCAGATCACGTACCAGCGCTTTTTAGCTCTCTGGTACCCAATTTACTTTATGGTAAAATATTCCCTTTTCAATTCCCAGCCAGGTGTCTTTCAAAGCGTTAGTCGTTTCAGACCTATTCTCAGGAATTTTGAACGCAGGTGTTACCATATTATCTGCGTCTTTGGGTAAGACATTTTGCTCGAAACGGCCTCTTTCTTATATAGTTACTCCCAGTCCCGTCAGCTTTTTTAAAACTTCAGTTGAAGGCTTTTCCTCCCAATGACCTGGCGTTTGTTCATCCCAGGATGGCTCCATCTACTCGCTGCATCGCTGTGAAAAATTGGTGACATCCCCTAAAGAACGGTGTGTAATTTAGCACTCCCAGCTTCCTGGGATGACATGATCAGAAAAGTTCCTTTTGTTATAACTCTTTCTGCAGGCCAAATGAAATGACAGGGTACCAGACGTTGTATTTGTTTGAGAATCCTTTGACCCATCAGGGAAATGGGCAATATTCAAAGGAAGTCGAGGCATTCAAGATAGACGAGACGCTGTTCCCTAACTTTCTCAAGCTCAAGGCGATCGATAAGGACAACCACGACTGCTTGATACACGGGGATTCCCACGTCAGTTCTGTCCTTGTCAAAGGATCAAGTGTTAAGGTGCGCGGTATTATTATTTTTTTAAAGAGGCCAAGAAAGTTGACTGAAAATGCCACAAAGATTTCAGCTTTCAAAAATTGGTACTTGTTGGTTGTTTTGGAGACTTGCACAAGGAATAATATTGCCAATGACTTTAAAAATGCTGCCTATGAAGCTAGCCAACAAAGTTGACAATAACTCTGGTCCACGTTTGTGTTTCTCTCTAGATTTTTGATTTTGAGTGCGCTCGTATGGGACCAGCCGCCGCAGATTTATCCAATATCATGGCGGGTTTGATTAAGTCGTACCTGGATCACAAGCATTATCCCTTGAAAGAGGGTTCGACTTTCCATGAAGAGCTCAGGAAAGCTGTCGACTCTGTAGGTAGGTCAAATTCACCAAACCTCGAGGATTTTCATTTTCATGCATCGGAAGAAAGTATCGAGGGGGCACAATAAAAGTACATCTGAACTACACTAACCTGTCTGTCGAAGCTTCGTAAAGGTTCAAGCGGTGTGGTGATGGTGGAATTAATCCTTCATTGTCTAGTTTTCAAACTACCAGATAAGGGCGTCGACTTTTGCCTCCCTTTCCAGTGGATACTTATTTCAAGGATGCAGCGGAGTACTTGAGTGAGAAAGACTACACTAGGACTATTTCCGAGACGGCAGGATTCATCGGTGCCAGACTTGTGCGAAGGTATCGGTACATCGTTCGCTGATTTAATGCACACTTAAGTTAAAGTTATGAATTCTGCTCAGAATTCTGCACAGAAAACCCAAGTCGCCCAAAGGGTGAGTTAATTACAGAATGAGTCCATCACTGGGCATCCACGCGATTGTGTCATAATTCAGTCACAACATGTCCCATGTATTTCAAGGCATGACCAGCTCCTGTCTTGTTGTCAATCTTCACCCTTGTGATTGTGAGCTATTTGTATAATTTGACCTATAAATGATTAGATAACATGTTTGAGGACTCGTCCTGCAACTCGGATCATGCACCCTAAACTAACTCTGTTCACACATCTCCTTCAAGGTCCGTCATCTTTGACGCCATATTTGATTTTCTTTACGTCCAAGCTCGTCTCAACCTGATTTTTCCGTCCAGGGTTTATGGACTTCCAGAAATGGGTGACGGACAGAGCAACTCACTAACTATGAAGGGGTGTCTTCAGATTGGATACCATCTTCTCAGGGACTCTGAGAAAATCTTCACCAGAGAGGCCTTGAAGAACAGTATTTTTCAGGAAGTGGACTAAGTTACACCTTTTGGATGTAGTAATAAACATTGTTCAACACACACACAAAACTACACTCATGTAAAATTTTACGTAACTGAATTTTAAAAAACTTCATAGTTATTTAGATGATTTTTTCAAGCAACTGGCATGTATGACATGATAATGAGAATGAGAGACACGTTTAAGATTCATTACACGACAATTATAATGATAATAATGTCACAACAATGAAAAGGAACAAAATAAGCAATCATCCCAGGCAATAGATGACAAGGTACAAGGGAGTAAAATAAACGATATTCATAACAGAGGAAAAAAGAGAGAAAATCGTTAAACTTATGTAAGATGTACGGGCCTATTGATTTCTATTTTGAAATTGTATACAACAGGTGTGAATAATCTTTGTAAAAAAATTACTTGGAAAGTTTATTTACCAATGTTTCCGTAAGACGATTAAGTGATGCTTCACAAAATTAGGAATAAAAATACAAAATTACAATTACTTGCAGTTTATTTATGGGATTTTTGCACCATATCAATCTGTTTCAAAAAGTGCTGCTAAAATATGTATTTTGAATTTAAATGAAGAAATACGTTTTTCAGACGTGAAGTAAACCAACACACGTTCACTAAATATGTACTCCACTAGATCACTGTAATCTGATCTCGATCAAATTACAGATTTTTCAGTAAATCCTGTCAGGTCGTTTTTATGTAGATTACTTCAAAAAAGTATTTTTCCCCAGTTTCCTTTATGGCCTGAAAAGAGCATTCACCTCTTAGAAAACTGTCCAGAAGTAATTTTAAACACGGAGGGAGATGTAAATCTGTTTTAACGTCAGCCTGACCACAGTTAGGCTGGCATTTATACCATCGAGGCATTTCTGTATTCCAACGATGCATGACCAACTAAAGCGTAAACGAGGCTATCGGAGAACAGCAACACTCGCACACGATAGATTGTCCTATCAGCGCAGCTGTTACTCGATTCACGCGCATGCTTTATTCCTGAAAGACTCAAGTTGGCAATTAACAATAAGAAAGGGTACCTCGAATCATGCTGATCACTTTTATATCCGGTTGTAAAATAACAGTGTTACTTTAATCTTTAGAGTGTTGTTCCAAGAGAAACAAATTTTTTTAAAAATGAAAAGAAAAAAAGACATCAAGATTAGCCCGAATAAAATGTGTGTTTCAATTCAGCAGGGAATGCTCTGAAGAGTTTACACTTTGTGGTTACGTGAGTTTTCCTGAAATATCCACACACCTACTAGTTAAATGGACCAATCCGGCGACGCTGGGCTGGTGCACCTTTTACAAAAAGAACTTTTGAACATTTCCATATTGCTGATTTCATGGCGCACTTGTCAGTGTGGTAGCATGCTACTTCTCTGGCTGGGCTGTTTGTTAAAGTCATTCTGGGTAGGTAACAACCACATACGTGTAAAGTCTACGTGTAGGGGGCTTTTGTGAAGCCAGATTATTACACGTAGGTAGAAAATCAGTAAGAAATGTCTGGTGTCAGCAGAAGTAAACAACTAGCCATAATGAGAAGTACTTCCGTGCCAAAGAGTGAAACTAGGAAGAAGTAGATTTGGGCTTATTTTCACTCTAGATGTACATGTATGTTAGAGTAAGAAAATCACTCTAAATTTCGACTGAAATAGTTTGAAAAAATAACCTATTCTTTGATTCCGTATATTTAACCCAAATTTGTATTTTCTCTGGTTTTGATCTCGGGAGGAAGTGTATATTGTGTGAAAAACTGTTGGTGCTTGGCAAATTTTGTCAAGTATTTACACAGTCGGTTGGCCTTATTTATTGCGTGCGAACTACGTATTCCACATTCCGTACTAAAGTAAAAAGTAAAGCATGTTTGAACATTTCAATTAGCTATGTCTTGCTTGTCACGGCAATGTGTATAGATATAATAGTGTTTTCTTATTATCAGGATTATCAGGTTGTCAACGGGAAGTGCCTTGTCATTCGAATATTCTGTAAATTTTAGATTAATTTCCCGTGTAGAAAGATAGTGCCCCTTTCGTCAAAGTAATAACAATACATGTATACACCCTGAAAAAGAAATCAAATTCAAGGTAAAAACGCATAATAATATGACACAAATTTCTCCTAAAAACTGCCGAATGACGTCGGCACTAAGGGCTAAATACAGTAGGTGTTCCTAATGATCTACTTTATTGCTATAAAAAGACACTCTGATTGGCAGAAATCAAAGATACCAAATAGTAAATTGGAAGCAAAGTGTTGACCACTTAATTTTTCAAATGAACTCAATCCAATAGAGCCTGAAAGCAAAAGGTCACGCAGCCAGCTTCCGGAACTTTGCGCGACCTGCCTATTAGCCCCGAGCTGGATCAAGAGAGGGCACCATTTTCCTAGCAACGGCGGCTCCTTTAGTCGGGTCTGCACTGGGTTGGTTCGCAACTGAACGACTATGAACGACTACGGGTGCGTTGCTACCAGTAAAATGAACGCTCCCGGCCAAAGTGGCTCTTTTCAAACAATGTGAGGGTGCTTCTGCTCAAGCAGGATAGAGATTTCACATGGGACCCCCCTATCACGTTTACAATTTTTGGAAGAATTCCTAACTGAAACAAGCCCCATGAAACACTCATGTAGGAATTGTGTGTTCTTCGTGTACTATTGCGAAAAATAACACCTGAAGGTGGGTAAAAAAACAAATTTTATTAACGACCTTTCAATGGGATACTTCGTAGACTTGACTCAAGTCGGGATCTCTGTGACGTCTTCGTTCTGCTCTGGATAAATATCGAGACCGTGCGCCGTTACTTGCTTCGCGCTTGTGTCCACTTATTACTATGTGTAAGAAAGTCCCTCACTGTCGACTGACCGCGCAATAGTTGGTAGGGCGCCCTCAGTGGTTTGCCCATTCTCGCACCGCACATTCCGTTCTAAAATCAGGTTTACCACGCACATTTCCAATCAGAATACCTCCAAATTTGCCCTTACCGTGCGTTACTGACAATTTCAACACGTTTTCCTGTTCCATATATTTCCAAGACTTCATCACTGGTTTCAGCTCCACCATTCCGTTCACAAATCACAGTTTCCCCAAGATTGCTTATCCTGGCCAATTGCAAGTCACTACCCCCTGTTTCTAATTATCTGGGTATGATAAACAGACAGTTTCTTCATTAAACCATCCTGCTCATCAGTTTAATCGCTGCCATAGAGTTGTTGTGTTAACCTTTTGAGCCACGCCTCCCTTTCCAAGTGAACCTTGTCACTTCTTCACATGGTCCTTCGAGCCCGACACTCACACAGCGACCTATCGATGACCTAGAGCAAGGAAACAAAGAACTGCAAGAGACGGCATCCACAAATGATGTCCGTCCCAGAAGGGAAAGAAGGATTCCGGGGTATCTTGATGACTTTGTTGTCGGCTACAATACCCAGTCCAAGTCTAGAGTTGACAAGAATGAGCACAAATTGGATTCCTGCTCAGAGAAAGGCTATATAGCGTCAAGTCACCATTTGTCAATTACACTGAGCAGTGCTCAGGAAGCCAGGCTGGAAGAACAGAAGAAAACATCTGGAGGAGATGAAATGTCAGCTTGAAGAAGAGAGCCAACTTGACGATGAGTTGAGGAGACTTGATGAAGCCGCAAATGAGGCACGGATAGCTGCTGAAGAAGACGGAGGCACTTGCAGCTAGAAGACAAGCAGAGAAAACTGAAAGAGAGGCCCAGCGTCGGCGAGAACAGCTGAATACACAGCTCTCCAGGAGAAGACGACCGAGAGAGGCCGAGCATGAGCTACAGAAAGCCCAACTTATTACGTCCATGACCGCTGAAACTTCGCACTGAGCAGTCAGGTGACACCTTGCCTCAGCCGCACTTCAACCAGAGGTTTCCACTGAGTCCCCAGAAGAAAGGGCACAATCCACACCCAACGGGGCCCATGCCAAGTGATGAAAAATGATTATCAAAGTCGCATCCCTATACATTTTCAATTGCCCGTTCACACTTCTTCTCGCCAAGGCCATTAGTGCGAATGCGTGCATGATTATGAATTTATCAATGAAGAGGTCTAGGGCATGGCATCAAACATACGTGACAGCGAATGGGCTCATCTACCAAAAGTGGTAGCAGCCAAATCACATTGCAGGATTTGTTTTTACGTCGGTCATACCTGCATTATAATGAACGAGTCTACAAGTCTGACTACTTTGATTGGTGGAAATTCCGCATACATTATGCAAGATCATGTCGTTCATGTGCAATTATGAGTAACTACCGTTTACACTAGGAACATTGCCTCCTCGTGTTATGTGGTTCATGCCCCTCTCACCATTCAACATTTCCATGAGCAGGCAAATCATTACCCCCAGCAATCCCTCCCCCTCCCCATTTCCTGGCACAAAGTTACGCCACACCTCCACTGGCTGGTTAAGGAGAAGATTATTTTTAATCACTAGTTTCATCCCAAATAATTGCGGGCAATTACACAGCGTTACAGGGGAGCCGACAAAGGGCTACCACCTGACGAAAACATCAAATTCTTATAGGAGACACTCGTTGGGAATCGTCTGACAATACTGTTACCAATTTGACGGAACTGCACCAATGCATGAAGTGTACGTAGCACGCAAAGGGACCTGAGGCTGGGCGCACGCCTGTTGATTAAGATTAATACTGCGGCGGGACAAGTGACACCTTCTGTAGCGGACCGAGTAGACCGGCCTGATCACGGGTGGAATTGACCTGGCCTGACCCCACAAATATATTAATTAACCTTGCGCAAGGATGAACAGCTACCCTGAGCTAACGAACGGCGGACTAAGCCTGGGAGCAGTTCGTTTGGTGGAGATTTACCACCACTTAGCAAAGACAAGATCTATCTGGCAATGGAGCAATTAAATGAAGGGAAATCTATTTCAGCCTCACAGTGACACAGGATTTCCAAGGACAACAATTTAATAATTGGCTTATTGCAATAATAAATCAATGAGGTAAACCTAACCACCCGACTGACTTTAGCGCAGCTAATCTATAACCCAATTGATACCTGAGTCACTACTAGCAAATAGCGACAGCCCTCACGCAAATAACATAGAGTGTCTTCACATCAGGGTCGATTTAACGAAAGGATGATCACCCTCACAGCGATCTGAGCACATCAAGTAAACCTCAAGGCGTAACAGTAGCCTTCTAGCCGTCACCCGGCCCACTAACAGTGCTTTAAGACGACAAAGAATCCAACAGCAAAGACCACTAGCTCGCAGCCTTGGTTTAGTGCTTACACTCAGCTCGACCATTCATCAATCTAGACTCAACACAGCTTACTACTACATCTACCAGTTGTAGCGTGTCCACACGCAGCGCTCCCGGTATAGTGTCCATGCTACGTCACACGCCGTCACAGCCCAAGACGGTTCACAGCGTTCTCCGGCTCCGCGACCATACTTTTCGTATTTTGCGGCTATAGAACAGCAAACCAAGGGGCGACGCCACGACGCGACGGCACAACAAGTGTGGTGTACTATTTACGACAAACATTTCTCTCTCTCTTGCCTCCCTCCAGGCGACGTAACCTGACGACGCTACGGCACGACGGCTCCCTTGCGTAGGGTCGAACCGTCGCCTTCTTACCATTTCGTTTGTACTCACACGATGCGTCACGTCGTGCGTCGCGTCGTGCCGTCGCCCGTCGCGTCGTGCTGTCTTATGTCCCTTCCTTGTTGCATTTTTCTGCCTAAACGTCGACCCTTCCGTCGCCCGTCGCGTCGTGCTGTCGTGCGTTGCGTCGTGCATCGCGTCGCCTGAAGCACGACGCGACGCGTCGTGTCCTGTCGCCCTTTACTTCATGGTATTTAAATTTATAGAGGGCGCCTTTACTGTTTTCTTTCATTTCCGTTCACCTTTCTTGCAAAGTATATGCTATTCGCTCTTTGGTGTTGATTTTTCATTGTTTTTATCTCATCGATTCATTAATTGGGATTATTTTCTGTCATGTTTTATTGAAAAAATTATGAAAGAGCAAAAAAAATCCGAATATGTAGGAACTGCTCTCTCAAAATAAGTGGAAACTGCAAGCTCAGAATTCGTCACTCCTTAATTTCCCAGCCAATGATTTCTTTTGCTTTGTCTCATTTCCGTCCACCGCACTTGCAAAATACATGCTCTTAGCCTCACTGGCGTTGATGAAGTTCCTATTTGTGGTAGATTTGTAACATTATAAATTTTCTCTGTTGCTCCATGCAAGCAGTTTCCAAGTAGTTCTCCCACTCCTCCAGTCAATTTGCATTATTGTACGACCGCAAGTTTGACCACGGGTTTCGGTAGTTACCATCCAGCCTGCACTATATCATTACCCTCAGAATATCCAGTCTTCAGTCTTCCTTCAGTTTAGTCTTCCCCGTTAACTTCATCAGCACCACACTTTCAATGATATTAGTGCGCCGGCGTGTTTCTTAATAAAACACTGTAGATCCTACTACCATTGTGACGGTGTCTTTTCTTCCTCTCTGTTTGGCCTCGCGCTTAATTTCTCATCAGATCCGCAC